CAGGGATAGGAGGGATAGGGATACACAGGGATAGGAGGAAGTTGGAGCTGCTTCCAGGGACTGGAGCTGCTGGGAGGAGTCCCAGGAGGCAAGTTCCGCTGGGAAGACCGACTCACAAGAAGGGGTGGATTTTTAAGGATTTCCCCCCAAGGGATCCAAGGATCCCAAGGATGTCCGGGTTCGCTCTCGTGGCTCCTTTGCTGGGAGGAGATGGAAAGCCTCGCCTGGGCTGGGATGAGAAGCACGAGCTGCCGAATGTCCCTGAACAGGGCTGAGCATCCCTRTCGTGAGCGGGGCGGCGCTCGCTGCTGCCGTCCCCATTCCCGGCCCATCCAGCCCTCTCCATCACCCAGGTATCCCAGACCAGGGCCCCTATCCGCCGTGTAAAAACTCTGCAGATTGGCTTTCTTTATGCACGCAGGCAGAAGCAAAAACACCCTTTCCTGTAGAAATGCAGAAGCCTGAAGGCCGAGGCCCAGGGAGGCAACGGAAGCGCAGGAAAATCCCTTTGGACACGAGAGCTTCTTCACTGCGAGGTTGGTCACGCGCTAGAAGGGGGCCRAGGGGTTTCCATCCTGGGAGATGCTGCAGCCCTGGGCTGGATCCTGCCCGGAGCAGCCGTGGGTGAAGAGCTCCCGGCAGCTCCGTTGGGATGGTGCTGGATGGCGTCGAGGCCGCGCGGGGGCCGGCGAGCCGCTTCCCTGCTGAATATACATGAAGGCAAATGTAAATGCTCCACTTTCCAGGGAGTATTTTTACCTCGGCTCAGTGTTAATGTTGATAAAAATAGGCACAAATTGGTGCAGGAGTAGAACGCAAATTTGGGCTTTTTTTTTTTCCCCTTAGTGTTGAAACCAGCATCTAGTTCTRGACCAGGAGTTAACTCTTAATGGAGCATGAGTTAGAGCAGGAGCAAACGCCCTTCCATGGCAGTTATTTAGGTAAGCTCCCACCTCAGTTAAATAAGCTGGACTTAAATTAAAACCTTTTTTATTTTTTAAAAAAGGGGGAAGAAAAGAGTGACTCCGTCTGAGGAGTTCGGCGCTGCAAGGTGGATGTTTGCACCGAATCAGCCTGCCTGCTTCCCAGATGCCTCCCTGATCCCAGCCGCTGGCAGTGGTGCCGGAGGTGCCTGCAGAGCAGGCAGGGATGCCGTGGGATGGAGAGCTGGGATTTCACCCCGTGCTCCCCGGAGCTGGTGAGGAGCCGGCTGAAATACTGCTGCAAAGCCCTGCTGTGCTCAGGGCCTTCTCCATGCTGCTGGTCCATCGCGGATCTATCGGACAGCACCGTCCTCTGCAGGTAGTCACAGAACGGCTGAGGTTGGAAGGGACCTCTCGGGATCATCCAGTCCAAGCCCCAGCTCCAGCAGGGACATCCAGAGCACAAGGTGACATCCAGGTGGGTTTGGAAGATCTCCAGAGGAGACTCCACAGGCTCCCTGGGCAGCCTGTTCCAGGGCTCTGTCACCCTCACAATCAAGAAGTTCCTCCTCACGTGGAGATGGAACCTCCTGTGTTTCATCTTACACCCATTGCCCCTTGTCCTGTCCCTGGCACCACTGAGGAGAGCTTGGCCCCTTCCTCCTCGGGTGTCTGTGTGTGACCACAGCACTAGGGCAGGCGCAGACCCCAGCTTCCCAAAAGGGGATAGACGAGGGTAGGGACGAAGCCGAGCCATGCCGGGACACCCCGCTCATGGTGACAAGACCCTGTTCCTGCCACGGGAGGGCACGTGGCAAGGGGGGGGATCTGGGAGGGTCTGCCAGGGCCTCCTGCTGCGTGTGTGTGAATCACAGCAGCTTCCCCAGCAACCCCCAGCAAAAATAACCGGGCTGGGAAGTGGGTGCTCGGGTCCTTCCTCTTTCCCGGGCGCTCTTGAGTCAGGCACACGAAAAAAAGCCTCCAGGACAAGGCCGTTATTTTGCTGATGGCAAAGAAATCCACGAGCGCCTCTGAGCACGGTCCCCAAGCCCCGTCGTGTTGTGAGTGGGGCACTTGTGTGATCCCCAAGGAGCCATTCCCCTGGTGCCAATGGGGATTTGGAGCGCGGAAGACCAYGGGATTGTGCAGGTGGGAAGGGACCCCGGGAGGTCTCCAGTCCCACCCATCAGCCCCATTGCTCTGGCCTCCGGGACCTCCAAGGGGGAAGACTGCCTGGACTCTCGGCACTGGTGACATCCCYGTGGTGACAAGGGGCTGTGACAGGAGCAGCCCATGCAGAAACACATTTCCTGTGTTCTYCCGCCTTAGCCATGGAAAGAAGAACCCCATTTCACAGTAGGAAAATGCTGTATTCCTGGGAAATGCCCAGGTGCTGAAAGCCTCTGGGACCAGAGCACTGGCTTGTGTGAGAAGACACCTGAAGGACGGGAGGAAACCAGACCAGTGAAGGTCTCTTGGAGTCCCATTGCCACGGCCTGAAAGCAGTGGGTATTGTGTGGAAAACACACACACGAGAAGTTTGGGCTTGAGCAGAATACGCACCGTGAGTTTGTATCTTTCAGGACAAAGGAACCCAGACAGGTGGGAGACTGAGCGGAGCCAGGAGTGGCCGGAGAGACTGCGGAGAGCCTGGAGTGAGGGACACAAAGGAGTTAAGTGACCTGAGGTGCGAAAACGTGGCGGGAGGCAGCGAGCCGGGTGTAGGCAGCCGGACAGGCTGTGACTCCTCAGTCCCTTGGCCAAGGGGGAAAAGAGRGGGCCACCATGGCCGGGAAATTAGGCTAAAAGGGAGGCAACCCTTTATTCGAATGAAATTTTGGGTCTCAATTTTGGGTCTCCTCTGCCTCCTTTTGGGCATTCAGTTCTTGACAGCGACATTTTCCCGCGCAGTATGAACAAGGGAGCGGCGCCATAAACAACCCTGGACGTGCAGGTAAAAACTCCTGTTTCGAAGCTCAGTCTGCCGCGAGGGGGGAACACGGTGCCCGGTGATTAATTTGGAACCCGCTCTTGCCCGAGCAGGAGCCAGAACCGGCTGCGCTTGGGCCTGCCCAGACCCGAGGCGGCCCCGAGGGCCCCGGCGGGGGGAAAGCGCGGGAAGGGGGCGCGTTCCCGCGCTTTCCCCTCAAGGGGGGCGTGGCTTGTGCAGACCACGCCTCCAACGCAAATTTTGTGG